CAGGTAAACGTCCGAAGAGGTTGACATGTATGGGGCAACAAAATACAGACTTGTTGTTATTGAGTTTGTCAACACGAACCGCTACCTGTGAGGCACTAATAGCCCCTCTCCCATCAACGTGTCGGAGCAGGACGAGTCAGTGCAACGTCAATCAAATGAGAGAGAGGGGGTGGGGGCGATTGCTGGGGTGGGGGGAGAAAATGTTTTATGGGTAGAGTAGTTTATTTTTCCTGTAATAGGCTACTTCATTATAGTTTTTTAAGACAAAGCTAATTGAAAGGGGCGCTGAGCTGGGATTACAAATAATTACTTTTTTTCTTCTGCAGTTTAACGCCCCCTCCAGCAGATGGCGCTCTAGGCAACTGCCTAGTTCGCCTATGCCAAGAGCCGGCTCTGGATATAAAGCAACTATTGTCGCAGCTCTGTTAGAGTTACACACAGACACAGAATATATCCATGCTTCACTTTTAATCACTTCATAGAAAAAGTATTTCAGATCTATTTTTGAACACAATATACAATATAATACCATACATTGTGTGAAACATTTAATAACCCACCTGCAACAACTGGTGGACGTTGACATATTATTGACAGTTTAAAAAATATCTCTCATGCAGATAGTGCTAAATCTGGCTAACCAATAGGACACAACTAGGACCAAAAAAGCTTTAAACATAGATAACAGTAATACTGACAAATTTTGAATCGTAAAACTGCTAACGAATTTGGTCAGAAAAATCCACACATTAGCACAGTCAGTTACATAAGATCATGATTTGTTGTYGACTTGGAACAATTCACATCAGTGCTGGGCGTATTGTAGCATGCTACAAACACTGTCCCCTATGTTTACATGAAGTGCATTTAGGTGTAAAAAGGTGACGATCACTTTGTGTTTATCAATCAGACTTATAGTAACCTGTGTTCAAATGCTAGATGGAGATGCTTGTTTTAASACAAGCCACTGGTAAAATTCAGCTAAGTGTGTATTCTGAACGGAGCATTAACTATATTTTAGCATTCCTTAGCCAACCTGTATGTATGCTTWTGCAGTTTAGTGTCCTCTGTTGCCTCTAGGTTACCAAATTGCTGATGTCAGACAAAAACCTTGTAGGTAAYGAAATCATTTGGTCAAAAAGAGACATAAGTCTGAAATATAAATAAGCTGAAAGTTATAGAAAATCAGTGTGGCAGCATTTTTGGTTTAAGGGTTGTGCATTATGCTAATAACTTCAAAGTGTTTCTTTTTAAAAAAATAATATTTAACTATTTTACCATTTATGTAAAAAATAAAGTTTGACTTACAAGGTTTTTATGTGACAACAACACGCATATAGCTGCTGCTCTGCTGGGCACTCAAAAACATTGTGCGAATATATATAT